AGCCCATGGAGTTCATGTTCCACACACTGCATTCAACAATTCCCAATAACCATGTGGAATCTGAAGTGTATTTTCTTCTTTTCTCCTCCTGTAGATATTTTTTGTTTGGGGAAAAGTATAGGTGCTAAACCTACTTACCTCTGAAAGTATGACGATTGAATTAAATGTTGAGTTTTAGCCATTTGGGATAATCCACACTTGAGTTCGTAATCTCATTACAGTGGACTGTATTTTTATACAGGAAAACAAAATAAATATAAACAGATGCAAAACCTTAACAGTTCCTTACAATCTACTAAACTTAAACATCAATTAAAAAAAACTTTATTCATTCCAGGGGAATACTTTTGAGATTTTTTAAAACAAAAAATACTCATCTAACCTAATTTCGTGAGTAGCAAGAATGGGGCTCAGTAGTCAGTGAGATTCCTGTATCTATGCCCCACTTCTTCAGGAGGCAGAAGGCAGAATAGCCAAGATATCAATGTGGTGTGTGCCATTATATCTTCAGGTTCCATTCAGCTTCAGTTGATTGGTACTCACTGTGAAGATCAGTTACAAAGGGCTGTGTTCATTGCCTTTTCATTTGGTAATAAAAAAAAAAGAAAAGGCTAAAGCTGCAGTGGAATACTTTTAATGCTGGACCAGTGACCACCACAGAAACTTTTACTCTATCTTGAAAGCACAATTCAATCCGTGAATCAGGGTGAGTCACCATCCCAACTTCTATAGGACTTTCCTGGTTTTACCATTGAAAGTCCAACATCCTAAGAAACCCCTCAGCTCTGGGCAAACCTAAACAATGCATTATCCCATCTGAATTTTGAATTTTTAAAATTTTAAAAATATTTCATTTATTTCTGAGAGAGAGTGTGTGAGCAGGGGAGGGTCAGAGAGAGAGGGAGATGCAGAATCTGAAACACCGCTCCAGGCTCTGAGCTAGCTGTCAGCACAGAGCCCGACGCGGGGCTCAAACCCACAAACCAGGAGATCATGACCTGAGCCGAAGTTGGACGCTTAACCGACTGAGCCACCCAGACTCCCCTGAATTTTGAGTTTTTGACAGAGGATTTATCGAAGCTAACTTAAAAAAAATCCAAGAGTTGGAATGATAAGGTCAAGAATAGTCTCTAAATCTACTTTTAAGGGGAAAAAACCCCCCAAAATAAAAAAACAAACAAACCCTTCTAACAATCAAGTAGCACTTGGCATTTGGAAATGCATTTAACTAGCCTGTATGACTTCCAGGTATTTGCTGCTGTGTATGTGAAGATGAGCATTTCCAAGGGCAAGAGAACAATCTGTCTCAGAGTGCTTCATTTAAGCAAGGACACGCTGCCAACTTGAAAGGAAATAAAGGCCACACTTTGTCTATGGGGGGATGCTGCAGTTATTCCCCTGCAAATTTAATTCAAACAGGTATTGAGATCTGAAACATGGAGATATCCACAAATTAGAGGATACTTGGTTTTTAAAAAGAAAAGAAAAGAAATCCAGGCCACAGAGAACTATCTTAAAGCTGCAATAACGGTTCCTTTTCATGTTCATCAATGTATTCCTAAGAACATGTTTTGAAAGTCTACATTGTGAATAAAATTATTTGAGATCTTCATATGAAATATGCATATTATAAATTTTAAAACTTAAAATTATTGTCTTCAACTCGATTTTATTTAAAAAATAGAATGTGTGTAAAATGTGCAAAATTAGTGCTATTCCAATACTTGGCTTTTAAAATTATTAGTTACACAAATATGCCACCCAACTAGTTTACTGATGATACTCTTACAAAATGCAGTGTTATTTGAATTTTACCACTCAAAAATATTCCTCATTAGAATATCACCATCTTAAAATAAAAAGTTTTATTTAGAGAAATGTCTATTGAAAAATATCTTGAATTTTCAAGCAATTTAAGATTCTGTTTGACTTATAAGACTGATAACCCTCAGAATATTTATCATATGTTCCTTGCAGGATTTGCTTATAGATTGTACTTGAGACAATCTGTTACATGAGAAAGATTTCTAGGAGAAATCCTTTTACTTGACCTGTTACTTGGGTCCCAAATCAACTAATAAACAAAAATCTCCAACAGGAGAATCTTAAACAAGAACTTGATTCTGTAATGGAGTAGAGACCACTGTCATCACAGATCACGCTACTACTTAAGGAAATTGGTCGAGTCCATCTTTTAATCACTAGGTTCAAAATTAGCTGTTTTATCACTAAACCATTTATTATGGTTTAATAAATCCATTGTCAAAAGCTATGACCAAAGTGAATAGAAGTATTGAAGCCCAAGAAGTTTGTGAAAATTTGAGTCATGATTGAAGCTCAACTACAGTTTTTCAAATTCTAAGGGCCATTGGCATCTGCCAATAGTTCCAAATACAGATATCAATCTTAAGAGTCATCAAAAGAAATCCTTTTCTTTTTTGGACATCTCCCTTGTGAGACCTCATTTCAGATATAAGGGCCTTAAAATAAAAGCCTTGAATTTAAGGTAGTGTTGCAATTTCTTTTTAGTAACATAACTGGAGAATTCTTATACATAGTCCACATCTTATTTTAGCTCCTAAAGATTAATCTTGCAAGACTTTGAATTACTATATTCTATGAAGTATTCAATAACAATATTGCTAGCATTCACCTCAAGACATGTGTGATTGACCACATTTTGGTTCTTATCTCTCAAGCTCCAGTTACACAGAACATTATAATCAGAAATGTATCAGAGATACCCAGTGCAATATCACTGGTTTCAATTAATTGCATGTACATTACATAAAAATGTGGCTCATAGCCAATTGACAGATTAGTAAGCAATGAAGGCAAGAGTACCTGGAGTTGAACACACACACACACACACACACACACACTATGGCATCTTTAAAAAAAACAAAAAAATTTTAAAGACCAAACATGGTATCAATGAAAGTCATCTGAAGCCACCCAAGTCCTGAAATGTTTTGTGGTTTAGGCAATTTTTTTCTTAATTGGTCACCAACTCTTCACCGTGGTCTCCTTTCCTAGGTAAATGCTGGACTTTAGGAATGATGTAATTTATAGCGGAAGCCTTCATTGCTCAGGGAGACAAAAGGACCAGGACTGTAAACCCAGGCTGACAAATCATGACCCCAGACTAACTGAAAAATCTGGCCCAGCTCTTTTGCATATGCTTGACACTGGCTGCCTCTGAGATTAAAAATATGACTTTCTGCTCCCACAAAGTTTAAGTGAAAAATGGCTTAAAAAAAAAGCATCAGAAGGCTTTCATACTCTGTATACATTTACTATAAAAGCTGAATCAAGCACACGGTGAGTGGGAAAATTGACTTCAACTGATAGCTGGTTAAAAAAAAAATAGGCAAACCAAACCATCTGAAAATAGGGTTTGTCATGGAAACAGCATGCTAATGGGACCCTATTCCCGGTACCTTTATGGTTTTCCAGGAAAGTCTTGTTTTGCCATTGGTATGAAAAGAAACAATAGAACATACTGGCTTTCTATATGCTACACAATTTTAAATAAGTTGCTTCCTAAAAACAAAGCCTGGTGATGACTTGAAATTTTGTCTTTTAAGGCTATTTAAATCCAGCATTATAAAACCTTTTTGCATCAAATTTATAGTTACATCATTTTAAGGACACCCACAATTAGAATCTTTTGTATTTATTTCATGGATCAAGACTAATAATCTTAAAATTTTTTCCCCAGAAATAATCTGATAGAAATACCTAGAGAGGAGATATGTTTTAATTTAGCCTAAGAATCCTTTTTTAAAATTCTATACACAAGAAAACCTTCTCGGGTATCTACCATAGATTAACGAAACAAAGAAAAAAAGGAACATAAAATTGCATCTTGCTATGTAAAATTGAATGCTGTATTTTCAATTAGATTTAATATTTTCATTTGCCTTAAAATAAATAATGATAATGACTTAAAAGACAATTAACTGCATTATAACCATGAAAGTAACTCTATTGCATCAATGGTCTTCATTTTAGTTCCTTGTCATTTTATCACAAAATATTTTCATTGGAAAATTTAATATAAATATTTTTAGTCTGTAAAGGAATAAGAGACTTGTTTTCTAAAGATACTTTAGGTTTTCCATCTGGCGTTTTACATTTCTCATAACCTTATTTCCATATTGTAAAATATATAACTTTGCACCTCTAGTTTATAAAAATTAGTGTGTGTATACTTATGTATATATGTATATATAGACATAATGTAGATACATATGCATATGTATATATCTATATATACATCCTACATATATATATATATGTATACATATATATAAATTCCAGCTAAGAGTAGACCAACTAGATAATTTCTCTGGAAAAGGTTCCTTGAACAATATAAAAATGGGGTCTTCTGAAGCAAACGACAAAACAACCTTATACACCCAACTACTGTTTAAAATGCTTATAAACACACAGTCAGTTAACCATTTATTGATTGCCTATTTATGGTTTTGGAATATCCAAGATTATGAAAAAGACAATACCTCAAAAAAATCATGATCAAGGTAATGCCTGATGATTTAAATAAACGTCCATATTATAAAAAGTTATGTAAATTTAACCCTTGAAAGAAAAAAGCTTTAATATTAAAATTAGAGTTCTCTTTTTAATAATTCTTTCTGAGTAAAGAAATAATTTGGAAATTTCTATTTATACTGTTACTGTCATGAAAGCAGATAATGTCTAGGAACTTGGCAATGTCAGTAGCAACATTGCAAGTAGGATACATCTTTGGAAGGGCTCATCTGAATGTTTAACGATAGACTTTTTCATTGAATTCCTGAATTTATATACTTTGGGACTGGCTATGAGACACTATAAAATGTAAAGATAGTGGTATAAATATGAAAAAAAATGTAAAGATAGTTTAGACAGTTCCAGTTCTGTTGTTTTCAGGCACAAAAACCATATAATTTTGTACAAAACTTTGATTTTTTTATTTGTGAAATTAAAAATATGGTATTTTATATATATAAACTTCTATTCCTCTATAAATATAGATGATTTTGTGATAGTGAACAGAATAAATGCATACCAAAACCAAAGACCATTGTCATTTTAGGGTATGACAGACATAGATAAATTTAGGTCCTAAGTACTGGCATTTGGATAAACTCTTAAAATTTAAAACAATACAATCAGGAGGTTTGCTTTCCTCCTCTTTTTCACAGAAAACTAAAGTGAATATTTTTAAATGGCTTTGAAAGATTTACATCTGACACATTTCTGTAAATCCAAAAAAGAGCACACAGGATTTAATGCAGTAGAACTGCACACACTGTCCCTTTACCATGCATGCCCATGGTTTTGTTTATTTCAGGATCTAATCCCACCAATTATTCCACCTCCTTCACCTCCTGGAATCCTACAAGGTTATCTTTAATGATGTGGATTGTTCCTCTCTCACTGTGTTGCTGTATAATCATAATATGTTGAAAGTATAAAACTTCTACATTTTAAAGTTTTTTTATATATGTCTAATTATTTAAAAATAATAAAAAGCACTTCATTTTGAGAAAGTCCATTACACGGAAATCTCCTTCAAGTTTTCCTATTCAGCTTAGGTTCTGCTGTCCTGTTAAGGAAAGCAAAGATCAACTCTTTAACAAAGCTTTCCAGGTGACCTAATGTTTCCATTTTACAGAAAGGTAAAATCTAAATGTGGGCTGTCTTCAGTCCTAGAGGCAGTTTGCCAGGCATCAGAATGCAATTAGAATTAACATTTTATAACCTCCATCTTCAGTCTCTCCCCACCCACACAAAGCTCCAAGCTTCTTCCCAAATCTCAGCAACCACATCTTTCCGAGACGCTGGCCAAACCCATACCAGGTTTTAAACACTAGAGAATGAAATGAGCTCATCCACCAAAAATTAGACTTGAAAAAGTTTGGCACTGGTTACCCACTCACCCTCTAACCAACTTAGGTAGAAGGAGGCAGTGCCTGGGCGTTGGAGGCCAGTGTGGAGGCTGGGGCTGCCACAGCCCACATCTGTGGGCCTCCATGAAGCTAGGGGTAAGGTTCTCCACAGTGAAAAATTCGGTTTTGGATAAAGCGGCAAGGCCTTCACAATCTGCTCCCCCCCCCCTACCCCGCCAAGGGCACACCTGGGACGGGCAGAGGTCTACCCCCGGATCTGGAAGCTCTGTGGAGTTCTATATCTAAAGAGCCCCAACCCCTAGCAATGAAGGTAAAGGAAAAAGCAGAAAGCGGAGGCGGGAAGTGACCTGGGCCGCGCAGCCCCAGACGCACCACGACCTCCGCAGGGAGGGGCGCGCCAGAATAAGCAAGAGCACCGTGCGCTCCGGTTTTATCTCTGCGGTACTCCGAAAAGGCAAAGGAAAAGCCTCAAATGGTTAAACCGCCCTAAATAATTGAAACTTAAACAAAACAAAACAACAACAACAACAACAAAAAAGGAAAAGGCAGAAAAAAGAAAAACGCGTGACCGGTCATCATTTAAATACAAATATACTTACAAAAATCTTACACAAGCTATTTACAATCATAAAAGCGTACAGTCCTGATACCAGAGTGTGAGAACCAGAGAGAGGTCTGTTCACCACCCTCCCCCATCCCCCCCCCTCCCCCCGTGGCAGTTGGGCCCTCCAGTCCGTTTGCCCCCAGGGACGGAAGCTTTTGCAGGAGCTGTGTTGTTAAAAGGAGCCTGCGAAAAGTGATATGGCTAGTGAGGAAGCCTTGAGTAGCCAGGCTTGGCAATAGTTCCATGGGGCCAGCTTTATGAGAGTGGCTGGGACGAAGCCGACGGCTGGGAACGGGCTGAGCCCCCAGGTCTCTCAGACGGTGGTCTCCCCCTGTTTGCTGTTGGTGAGCCTGGTATAGAACTTCCTCCAGGAGTTGAGGGTCTTGCCGGACCAGATCCAGAAGCCTGATGTGATGCCCACGATCAGCGTCATAAGGTACTTGATCATGAAGACTGTGAAGTCTGGGCTCATGGGCGGGTGAGGCGGGGCGCCTCCACCCGCCTGGAGGTGGGGGCAGGGGATGGCGTAGCTCTTGCAGCTCTGGGCCACCCAGCTGCGCTCCCACTGGTCCCGGAAGGCCTGCTCGTAGAAGTAACAGGCGATGACAATAGTAGCTGGCACCGTGTAAAGCACGCTGAAAACGCCGATGCGCACCATGAGCTTCTCCAGCTTCTCGGTCTTGGTGCCGTCGTGCTTCATGATGGTGCGAATGCGGAAGAGGGATACGAAGCCTGCCAGCAAGAAAGACGTGCCAATGAACAGGTACACGAAGAGCGGCGCCAGCACGAAGCCACGCAGCGCGTCCACATTGTTGAGCCCCACGAAGCACACCCCGCTCAGCACGTCGCCGTCCACCTGGCCCAGCGCCAGGATGGTGATGGTCTTGATGGCCGGCACAGCCCAGGCGGCCAGGTGAAAATACTGCGAGTTAGCCTCGATGGCTTCGTGACCCCACTTCATGCCCGCTGCCAGGAACCAGGTGAGCGACAGGATCACCCACCAGATGGAGCTGGCCATGCTGAAGAAGTAAAGCATCATAAAGAGGATGGTGCAGCCCTCCTTCTTGGTGCCCTGCGCCACTGTGCGCGCCCCGTCCTCGGAGAACTTGTCGTTACACACCACTCGATCCTCCAGCAGGAAGCCGGCGATGTAGGCCACGGCCACTGCAGTGTAGCAGCCGGACAGGAAGATGATGGGCCGCTCCGGGTAGCTGAAGCGCCGCATGTCCACCAGGTACGTGAGCACCGTGAAGAGCGTGGAGGCGCAGCACAGCACCGACCAGATGCCGATCCACGTGCGCGAGAAGCGCAGCTCCTCGGGTCCAAAGTACATAAGCCCGTACACCTTGGTCGGCTCACAAGGCGCACCGCAGTCCTTCTCCCCAAGGAAGTGGTAGTTGAGATAGGAGGGCACCTTGAGGGCGCGTGGGCAAGAGAACTTGCCTCGCTCCGACGCGCCGGAGCCCCCCGGGAAGCCGCCGCCACGGTGCCCCCCGCCGCCGTGCTGAGGGTTGCTGGTCCAGAACTCCGGCAGCAACGAGGGCGTCGGGGTGCCCTTGTCCGATGTATTTTGGCCCACGCACAGCTCGCCGGCGCCGTGCACCGGGAACTTCTCGCACTTGAGCGTGTCAGGCCACTGGAAGCCGAACTTGTTCATGAGCGCCTCGCAGCCCTGGCGCGCGCGCTCGCACAGGGAGCGGCAGGGCGGCAGAGCCTGCTCCAGCACCGTGCATACTGGAGCGTACATGGAGCACAGGAAGAACTTGAGTTCCGCCGAGCACTGCACCTTCACCAAGGGGTAGAACTGGTGCACCTCAAGGCCCGCATCCTCTTGGTTCGTGTGGCCCAAAAGGTTGGGCATGATGGTCTGGTTGTACGCGATGTCCGTGCACAGCGGGATGGAGATGGGCTGGCAATAGCCGTGGTCCGGGATGGAGATGCCCCGCTCGCCGTTGTACTGCTGCCCGCCCTGCTGCTGCTGGGGCGGCGGCGGCGGCGGGGGCTGCTGCCCCGGCCCGGGCCCCTGGCCCGGCCCCTGGCCCACTGCCTGCGCCCGGACCCCCAGCAGCAGCGGAACCTCCAGCAGCCAAAGCAGTAGCAGGAGCCGGCGCGCCAAGCGTCCAGAGTCAGCTGGGGGGCGGCGGCGGCGGCTGCCAGCGTCTCCGCTCCCTGCCGCCACCGGGCCAGCTGGGAGCGCCCCGGCATAAAGTTCCCAGCTCGCGCCGCCGCCGCCGCCGCCGCCGCCGCCGCCGGTGGCGGCGGCCCGGGACTTCTTAGGCGCCTCCTCTTCAGCCATACTTTCTCGGCTCCTTTCTTGGCGCCGCCCGGCTGGGGCCGGCAGTAGCGCGGCCGGCGGCAGCTCCCCCTGCGGCCAGGGAGATCTCCGCGCCGGTGCCCTCCGTCGAGCCCGAGCTGCGCTCAGCCCGCTCCCCCGGCTCCCGCTCCAAGTCCCGCAGCCGCCGCCGCCGCGGAAACTTGCGATTCATGAAGCGTGGGCGGCGGGTAGAGCCCGGGTGGCTCCGGCGCGCCGGGGTCGCGTCCCGCCCTCCTGGCCCCCGGCTCGCTGGCTCCTGGCTGGCGGCGCCGCGCTAGTGGCCGCGGCCCCGTAGAGCGCGCAACTCTCGGCAGCCCAGCAGCCTCGGCTCCCCCCTGCGCCTCCGCCTCCTTCTCCGCCGCCGCCGCCTGACCATTTGTGTCAATCCCTCAACTCGCTCGTTCTCCTCTCCCTCGCGCGCCCTCGGACCGGTTTCCAGGCGCCCCGCAGTCTGTCTTTCACCAGGAGGGAGGAGCCTTGAAACCGACGCAGAACTGGAGGCTCAGGGACCGTCGCCCAATCGCGGCACTGGCTTCCCCGCGCAAAGGGCACCCGCTGCCTGCTTCCCTGAGCGAACGTCGGCGGCAGGCGGGAGGAGGAGGAGGCGGGAGGAGGAGGAAGTAGTAGTGGTGGCAGAGGCACCGCTCAGGCACAAAGAGTGGGTTTGCTATGAAGCGGGACAGGCTTGGTTGCGTTTGCTTTTGCGGAAGAAAGGGCGAGCACTAGTAGGAGAATGGTCCCATATGCTGCTGGGGATAATGGATAGGAGTCGGCGGACCCCGGGACTCAGCTTTGCTTTTCTTTTATCCATTTTCATGTTTAAAAATCCTGCTCTTAACTCTGGTTACAAACAGCGTTAAACCGAGCACCGCGATCAGAACAGATGCCTTTGACTTAAGGAGCGCACGGCTTCCTTTGAGTTTATGCCTGTCGAGGTTTTCTTTAAAAATATTACTCTAGTAAGTCCTAGAGCTCTCAGGTTGGGCTTGGCGGGCTTTGGACGCGCCATTTCCCCAAGGAGAAGTTCACGGGATTGCTGTCAAATGAAGAACAACAACAAAACACAAACACAAACTGACGGGATTGAAAAAGTAAAGCCAGGTGCGCCATCCGCTACTATTAATCTTTCTTGTAGTCCTTTTTCTCCTCTTGAATCAAGTCAAAAACAGAAGCAAGGGGAGAGTAGCCATTAAATATTTAGAGAGAAAAAGTTGAGAACCCGACGACCTCTCTTCGGGAGCGTCTTCTCTACTCGAGCCCCCAGAAGTGCCTCGGACCGGAGGAGCAACGCCGGCGAACGGCCCGGGCTGTTGGGGAGCGATTGGAGCCTTCCAGGGTGGGGGACGTCGGGGCAACTCCTGGGAGTGTCAGACTGAGCCGGTTAGGAGCCAGGCTGGGCTGCAGCGAGGTCTTCCACCGGTGTACGGAGCTGGGGATGCCAGTGTAACAAACAGCGAAGTCTGAAAGCAAAAGAGCTAACTGCACGTTCCCTTCCTAATTACAAACAACACAATCCATCTCAGCCTACGTACATTCTTGTTTTCTTTTTTTTTTTTTTTTTTTTTTTTTTTTTTTTTTTACCGATGCTTTAACTACGTGACTCAGTTGTATCAGTAAAGTGCCATCATTGTATTAATAATTCTACCTAGGATTTGTTGGTCTATGATTAGACTTTAGGGATACTTTCCTACAATTTTTTTTCTTTTGTTTATCCATCCACTCGTTTAATACATATTTAGGAAGCACATCTAAGTATGTATTTCAAGTGATATTACAAGCGATATTAGGTAATAGAATACAAAGAGATGTACAAGACAAGGCATGGCCTTACAGGAAGGCATAGTACAGTAGGACATAGAAAGGTAGATAAGTTATCTTGTCGCCCATCGCAAAGCTGAATGAGCACAGCTGAAGCAGCCAGCCAGTGGAAATGGGTGAGAAGTGTTCTGATAGAGAGGTGGGTGGACAGTGCAAAGGAGAGAAGATCTTTAGTGCTTAAATTGCCAAAGGGAGTGGGGATGCAGAGTGAGTGTGGCTGAGATATCTTAAGGAAGGCAGGAGAAAGTTTTAGTCCATTCTAAAAAGTTTGGGCTGAATAATCTACAGACAATAGGGAGCTATTGAGGGTCACTTTCTCTCACCTACACAGCAAGGTGGTTTCAGAAAGACTGTGAAAGATGGAACCTGGGGCATGTTGTCATTGGGAAGCTTGGACATTAGTCTAAATATAAAGGTCACTACTTAAGATGGGTGCTACTTGTACCATATATTAACAGAGCACCATATATTAACAGGTGTGAAGCTCATCACCATGCATGCTGGTGTCTCTGAAGGATGTGCAGCTGTATCTTTACCTGATAAACCAAAATGACATCTATTTGTCTCAGGTACATATATTATTGTTTTTCAAATATTCATGCACATAGCAAATTCATAAAATCTGTATTTGTTTTAAAGTATTTCTGGATTCCTAGTAACTTTTTTTTTTTAATGAAAATGCAACAAGTACTAAATGTACAACAGGTACCATATGTGAATGTGTGTCTGTGAATTGACAATACGCAAAATCTTCATGTAAGATTTTGATACTGAAAAGGAGGTGCCCTCTGAGGTCCTTTGAGCACACCGTCTATAACTGTTCACTTTACCTTCCAGCATTCCAGCCCACAGTCTCCCAGGGACACTTTTTCTCTAGCCCTCTGCCCTGATGTTCATTCTTCTGCTGATAGTATCCCATGCTTAGAAACTCTATCAAGACACCTCCCGTCTACCATTCCTCTCTTATAAAGACTTATCTGTTTTGTATTCTGTTCTCTCAAGGTCATTACTGGTGAAGCATAGCATGCATTAAGCACCCACCAACACCACTGCTCCAAACCTTCTTCTCCCCCAACAAATGGGGCCTAGGGATTAAGGCAGAGTGCTCAGTTCTGTTCCTCAGTGTAGGTGACACTCTCCTGCTTCAAAAGTTGTTTTACTGAAATTCTTGAGCTTATTTTATCTACCATCGGACACTGAAGTTTACTAGGGAGAAGGCTCAGAGATGCTATTGGTGTTAAAAAAAAAAAAAAAAAAGTCATTGTTGCCAGATCATGGAACTGGAAGGAACTAGGCATCACCTAGGAACTACTGAATTTTCTCCTGTTTACAATGAAGAGTATTATGCCCAGATATGTTAAAGAATGAACTTCCGGCAAAATGGCCTTGTTTGGTTTGAATTTCATCAGATGGTTATTTTAACTCTTTTTATGTTCTTTTGAATAGTTATAATTCTTTTTTTTTTTAATGTTTTATTTCTAGGAGAGAGAGAGAGAGAGACAGCGTGAGCAGGGGAGGGTCAGAGAGAGAGGGAGTCACAGACTGAAACAGGCTCCAGGCTCTGAGCTGGCAGTCAGCACAGAGCCCGACGCGGGGCCCGAACCCACGAATTGTGAGATCATGACCTAAGCGAAAGTCGGATGCTTAACCGACTAAGCCACCCAGGCGCCCCTGTTACTATCTCTTCTTCATCACTTTTGGTCTTTCCTTTTCATCCAGAGTCGTCTTTAATATTTCTTGCAGGGCTGGATTAGTGGTCATGAACTCCTTTCATTTTTATTTATCTGGGAATCTATCTCTCCATCTCTTCTGANAGAGGGAGTCACAGACTGAAACAGGCTCCAGGCTCTGAGCTGGCAGTCAGCACAGAGCCCGACACGGGGCCCGAACCCACGAACCGCGAGATCATGACCTAAGCGAAAGTCGGACGCTTAACTGACTAAGCTACCCAGGAGCCCCTGAATAGTTATAATTCTTTTAATTAAAAAAAGAGTCAATTTTCTGTAGTTTTCTCTCCGTCTGTGTAAAAAAAAAGACCGTGTAATATTAAAAAAAATCATTTCCTGAGAGTTGTCTTCCAAAATGCAAAAACCTAGATCTTTCATTTATTTTATATCAATCCAGTATTTCATTTATTAAACATATGTGACATAGAGGAAGCTATTAAAATAAAGAACAGTTTAGAGTTGTAACCAATGACAATGGGTGTCATGGAAAGTCTTTTGGGGAGGTGATACAGGCTGTGGATAACATACTGTTAGAAGAGAAATATGAGCAGCATATTTTTACTTTAATCTAAAATATATCATTCTCTCAGGATGTGGAAATGTTTGAGATTTGCAGATAAAAATGACTAAATAAGTATGAACTATTATGAACTTTGTAATAAAAATATTTCAATTAGGCAAAAACTATAAACATAACACAGTTTCTCCTTAATATTGGTTCTTCAAGCTTCAGACTCAGTCAAGTTTTCTTATATCAAAGATCTTGTTTTATCAGTCCTTTCCCAAATCTTTTGAAGTTTCTCCAGACTGCTTATGTCTGGTTGAATGTGGATAATTACCAGGGCTAGAGATCCGGTTCCAAATACATACAGTTGAGTGCACATGGACACGCAAGCATTTAGGTGAATGCTCCACAGACAACCTGGCAGACCTTGAACTTTTAGGTGAGTTGTTTGGCTGCTGGCTTGTGGGTGGCAGGGTTGAATTATCTTTGTTGAATAACAGAGAGTATAATATGTGTTAAGAGTATGTTTTTGAGCACCTATCGTATGTATTTGGCGTTATTTTTCTTAATGTACACTATGTATGCTACATTTTGTCACTTAAATTTTATCACTCTTTGAGGCAGGTTATACTAATTATTATTTTCTTTTAATAAATGAAGAATCAAATGCTCAAAGTAGTTAAACAACTTGTCCAAGGCTTTATAGCCAGTAAGTGCCAGGGTAGGCCTTGTGTCTGATCAAAGTCTATGGACTTTCATTGAGTAAATATGTCTATCTTAAAAATTATAGAAGAAAATGTGGTTTCTGAGATGTGCATCTCATGGATTCCTCAGTATTTAACGTAGTTTTTTTATATGAGGATAACAGGGATAACACCTCTGGAACTCAGAATATAAATATTTGCTTGACACTCATGCTGTGTGGAATGGTATTTAAGAAACTGGGTTAGGGATGC